GTGCTTGCCAGAGCAGTGCTTCAAAGCCACCATTGCCATCCAAATCCACTGATGCCACGATCTTCTCAAGCTGGCCCTGCAGTTCACACCAGCAGTCCTTACAATCGACCTCTTCTGGGAAGAATATTCACCACAGCGAAACGGCGACGAGGCTACAAGTGATCGGGTGCAAACAGAGGGCAAGCGACCCCTTTAGGATGCAAGGTGATGGCAAGCAAGCGGGTGACGCGGCTGCTAGCAATCGAACCGAAGTGTCATGGCGAGAGAATTCTGGTGGTGGTGCTGGTGGTTGAAAGTGATGATGCTCAGCAGCACATCTGGCTTCAGCAAACGGGACCTGAACGAAACCAATAAGAAGCTCTTCGCGTTCAGCAGCCGCAACGAGGGTCACAACCTGTCCGAGGTGTTTTTTGAAAACAAGGCTTGCGCCCAGGGTCAGGTGACGTTTTTCGTGGAAACCCCATGTTTTCTAAATGACATCACGCAAAGAGGCGTTCACTGCTGAAGCTCCGACCTCGCAGCAGAGCTGCGGGACAGTCCCTATGTGACAACGCCCCGAACATACGTCATACCGCTGAACACAAACGACATCCATCTGAAAGCAGGATCTGCCTCGCAAAGCACACCGATAAGAAGGTTCATCACAGTGACCTGAAATGACATGCATGATGACTCTGACACAATCCTGCAAAAGGCAAGGTGTGTACAGTGCACTGCAGCCCCTCGCATCAAACACGTCAGGGTGTCGGCTGCGATCAACACCTTGGATTTGGTGCATCACAAAGCTGACATTCGGAGTCAAACAACACATAGTCCGCAAGAGCCAGCGAAGGGTTCATTTAGATTCATGCTGGTCACACTGACCCTCGGGGTATGCGGACTCGTCAGAATCATCTATCTCTCTGCAAACCGAACCTGCAGTCGGAAGTACACAACAAGATGCAGGACTTGCCCTTAATTCCATTCCACAATGGTGATTTCCCTGACCCCGACGGCATTGGGAGGCTGCTGGAAGGCCCCGCCTCGACCCTTTCGGCAAAGCACCGTCTTCACCTACAGACCCATCTCCCTTGATCCTGCACCTGATCCGGGCCCTGCGAACGTGGCTGCTCGCAGCTGAGAGGCATAGCTGAAGAAAATGGCCACAATCAGGCCACTGTCTCGACCAACATCTGCAAGCAATTCAGTCACCTGGCATGTGCAACACCACTGGCCAGCACTGGAATCGCACAATCTGCCATTCTGTCACTCGCCAGTGACAAACTGAAGCCTGCAATAGAAGCCTCGTCAAGCAAAGCACCTCTGACGATGCAGGTGAACATGGAGGCCTTCGGTTGCAGGGCAAAGCAAGACAGAGGCTGTGAGTCGGCAGAACCGACTAGCAGGATCAAGCCACCCAAACGTTCGGAAAGTAGCTCTCGCATTCAGCACCGCTTGGCAAGCCCTGGCAAGGATGCTCCGAACCCGAAACGTGAGTCGGTGCAAAGCCGAAGTCCTTGCACAACGAGGTAAACGCAATCGAATACACCTCGAGCAACTCGTGCAATGCTATCAACGGATTGCGGTGGCAAAAACAACACTGTAGTTCTGCTTGAACCGCCTATTTGAGCCGAGCACATATGTCACAATCAGCAGGAGGCCGAGCGTGACGAGAACGGATCTAAAAGCCTCGGGCCCGGACGGAGGAGCACCACTCGCGTGCGCAAGGCTTTGCGGGCTGTCGGTTGAAAGCTGACGTTTGGCATCAGTTAAAGTCGTAGTAGTAGTAGTAGTAGTAGTAGTAGTAGTAGTAGTAGTAGTAGCAGTAGCAGTAGTAGTAGTAGTAGTAGTAGTAGTAGCATCAAGTTTCTGTTTCCATCAGGATGCACTGACACCATGCTAGGGTGCGCACGGCAAGCATTCCCTTCAAGAGGATCATCAACTCCGGAAACGCTTTCAGCACGCGAACCTCCAGGCCGTCGGGCAACATACTGGGACAACACAACTTGTTCCCTGCATGCACAGCATGGACTGAGGACAGGGCGACTCTGGTCATGCGAAAAAGGCGCAACAATCGCACCAGGCTAAGAAGTGAGGGGTCCAGCATCTTGAGCCCTGCTCCAGACTCGAAAAACATCGAGACATTCAAAATGCAATCTTAACAAACCGTCCTTGAATCGTGGCCACCAGCACGGTGATGATCCATGTCCTGTCGCTGCGAGCTGCATAGGGACGAACACACACATATATGTAAGAAGCAGCTGTATTGTGCATTGTGAGAGTACGGGCCCAAACTAACGTCAGAGCGACTTGCGAGCAGTACTGCGATGAAACACTTGGGGACCAACTCGAAAATCATGAAAACCAGGATGACCGCGTCGAATACGAACCTCACTGCATCTCTGTGTCTGCGGCCATTGACAGCCAGCCTTCGGGTTCCGGACCACATGTCTCTGAATGCATCCCGTGAGCGCCTGCCGAAAGGCTTCGTTCAGTCCGTAAGAATCATTTGCAGGTGATCAGCTCCCGCTCGTCCTGAAAGCCCCGTATCGAATGATCAACTCCGCCGTGAAGAAAGCCTTAGGCATTCGTTTTGAGAGAAGCTGTCAAACACCTCATTGAACAAGCGAGAGAGCAAGCCCAATCAAGTTAAGCGTCGCAAAACAGGTTCCTGCAGAGTGCAGACGCACAGAATTCTGCAGCATCAAGGATTGCGCAAGGCACAAGTCGTGCCAGCCAAAACAGTGCCACATGGCCGGCCCATGCCGGCCCTCAACTATTTTGAACTGAGTCTCTCCATTATTTGGAATTCTGGCCGGGCATATATCAAAAGATCTTGGTCGTTGTAGTCGGTATCCACGGCGATCCACAGCGCGTTGACGATTATAACACCCAGCCTCGTCGCAGGCAGGAAAGCATCCAATTGAGAAAACAGTTGAACCTCTGCATTGCATGTCTTTTTTGAAGTCTCCCACTTTCTCTCAGATGCGCACAGGCGGCGACAACACTGAGCCGGGCACGTTGTATAGTCAAAAAGCGGACTGCGCGCCAGTCGCTGACAAATACCTTCCTGACACACGGGGCTAGTCAACGATCGTCGTCCGAACCAACGGCAACTAATATTGCAATGCATGCAATCTTGTCATGAAATGCGGACTGCTGCGCTTGTTATATCCTACGAACAGTTCAGTTCCTGTGGAGTGACCCGGTACAATGTGACAAGACACTGCCCCACACGGAGCTCCATGTCGTTGGTCAGAACGGACTATTTTCCAAGCGTAACCATCGGAACAAGGCAAAGCTGGGACGATTTCTGGTAGTGTGCCCGTGGTAATGAAAGCAACGAGATTCCGGTAGAGCCAGCATCAAAACATCAGACAAAAACCTGCATGTAAGTGGAGCATGCAGGCAAGATGAAACTGTGTTTTGCCGGGCGGCCGTCTTGTAGAAGTCTTGTACATTGTACTTCTTCTGCTCGAGCAAATCTCGAACGGCCTGCGGGATCAGATTTGAGGAGCGGCTGTCAAGCGGGCACGAGCTCTGTCGGCTGATTGGTAAGCTCAGAATTAGCTCCTCCTTTACAGAATCTGGATCCGGAAACACTCCGTTCGCCGGCTGCTGCACGATGGTGGAGCCTGGCTTGGAATTGAAGACTCATGATGCTCATCGCCGATCAACCGTAGGTGCCATTGCCTCTCTTGGGTTGACGCCCTGCTGTTTCGCCATCGGCCTCCCAGAAACGGAAAGGGACAGGGAGAGGCTTCGGTCAACACGGGTTTCGAAAGACACGCTCCTGTCCTCCCTGGAGGTGCAAATGTCTCATTTGGATCTGGTCAAGGTTCACCCTTCCGCGACGTTACCAGGCTCTGTTGGCGTCCCTATCTTCGAAGACTTTACATGCCGTTTGTCCTCGTTCAGTTTGGATGCACAGTTGCACAGGCCCCAAGCCAAAAAACAGCGGTCACGTGGACTGACGACCCAGGCCGTAGACATCGCACTATCCGGGATCTGGCAAACAGCCTCTGCCTCTGCCCCCTCTATCGGATGCCCGAGAGACGATGCGTCCACAGTTGCCATATGTTGCGATTCGTTTCCCTTTGCATCATTGGAACTGGACGGTGGGCGAACGAAACAACGACAATGCACTATGGTCCCATTTGGGGAAGTCAAAGCATGCGCTCCTAGTCCGCGATATTGATATGGCAGACGGTTTGATCATCCAAGGCCAGCCCGTGATGTTTGCCTTCACACAACTAAGGAAATTTCAGGAAACTCAAACCCTCACAAAGCATCCGCGCTGTTTGTGAGTACACTTACGACTTGCGGCAGCGTCTGCAGGGCAAACAAAAATGGGGCTGTTCCAAACAAAACGACGACGAGGCCTAACTCATTGGGTTTCAACTTCGGAGCTTCCATAAACCTTCACCACTGCCTCGGTGGCCGGCTTCATTGACATGGCGCGGCGAAGTCTTTGGAATGTAGAAGGCTGCCGAGCCTGTCCCCGTATCAGAAAGAACATTCAACGTGACAGGTTGCTCGTGCTTTCGGTCCTACCTCCTGCGATGACGAGGAGAAGCCCGTCATGCCTGTGTCCATGCGCAAGCAAGCCTTGTTGTCCTAAGGCTACTGTTCATTGTCGCGCACCTCGCTGTAAAGTTTTGACGGGAGCATCATCGTCAGGCTCCATCTCACACCTGAGCCGACAACGACATTGCACAGGTCATGTCAAGAAGCGCACGAAGGACCTGCATGCCAACACACACACACACACACAAAAACGCACACAAACACACACACGCATGCGCACGCACACGCGCACGCACACGCACACGCACACACGCACGCACAGAGATCCAGTATGGATTCGAGGAGCTGCTGCTGGTGGGCTCGGCACAAAGTGGTGCATCTCTGAGCCACAAACGTATAAGCTGCAGATGGAGGCTCGAGATGAGCTTCAACAGACGGTCGGCATACTCAGCAAACCCTAAAGTTGCATCAAAGCAAGAATTTTTTCCCAGCTGTCAATCAAACATGTCATCGTCAAGCTCAGCCTCACGTTTTCGCTTTTTGTCTTTCTTCTCCTTTTTGTGTTCCTTCCTGTCTTTGCTCTTCTCCTTCTTGTCTTTGTGATGTTTCTCCTTCTTCTCCTTTTTGTCCTTCTTGTCTTTTTTGTCCTTCTTGTCCTTCTTCAGTTTGACTTCAGAGCCGAAGATGTCCTCCGAAGCTCTCACTATCAGCATTCGCATGCCGTAGTAACAACAGAAAGAGGAACACGTGGGCCGAGACGAAGAACATCTCCGGATAAAGCGCTGCTTCGCATGTGCACAACGCCACGACAGTGAGCCTGCTCATTGCCTTTTTCAAACTTGTCTTGAAACTCGATCACCTGCCAGAAGGATGCATGACCAGCTTCTATGAGTGGGTACTGAGACTCTGTCACTGGCTGCTTCCAAAACGGCTTCGTGTGAGCTACAAGCTGCACAGCAGCACTTCCAGCAAACCTGAAACCTGACTGAGTCTATGGTCGCACAACCGTGAAACTTCAAGCCGAGAGACTACTGCCTCGATGCCATCGAAGCTCTACGTACACTTGCGCAGCTTCGACCCAGCTTTTGTCTGCTACCGCTACAGCATCAACCCTGAGTCCTTGGATAAATGATGTTAAGGTACGGCTTGGACGGGGGGTTTAAGTTTGTTGCAGTCGCTGCATCCTGGTACAGCTTTTCGGGCTCAGCTCCTTAGGCCCACTACATGAAACTCCTGCTTGGAATGCCTGGGCACTCACGGCAAGGCCTCATCATCTTCGAAAAGAGCTGCCATGTCAGCGTCAGCGACATCCTCGCCACCCTCCACGACATCCTTGTCGGCAATTGCCTTTGCGGCCCAGGCTGCGTACTGTTTAACAGCCAGGCTTATCCCGTCACCGTGCCTGCTCCGGAAGATGCTGCAATGCGGGCACGCCCGCCTGTGAACAAGCGATGAAAACATGCTGCTTACGCTTCTACCGTTCTAAATGGAACAAGAGCCTGTCGCGAAGCCGATTACTACTGCAACAGATGGACCACATGTCATACTGAAAGTGATATCGTGTTGCTGGCTTTCTGTTATCTGCACTACGTATGGCATTAACCAACGAACTTACGACCCCTTCAAGGTGTGTGTGACAGGGCAGGGGGAAGGGGGCACAATGGCAGGGGGGGTAGGAGAGGGCAGCAAAGTTCAGAGGTTGGCAGCCCGATCCTCGCTACAGTAGTGGATCGTGCATCTGGTGCCCTTTGGATCGTTTCTCAATGCAAAGAAGTTGCAGGAGTAGAAGAGGGTTTGGATACGTCTTGTAAAGCCGCGAAGAGAAAAATCTGCCCATAAGGATTGATATGGTGCAGGGGATTTCAACACCCCATATGAAGCCGCGGAAGGTCTGGATAGCTCATCATATCTGTAATTCTGGGCCGGACGAGTGCAAAATAGCACCTCTGGCCCGCAGACATGGACATAAGTTTAGACTATAGTATGCGCAAGCTTCGGACCCAAGAGAAACTAGACCGGACGAGACCGGTTTGTACTAGACTGGACTGGCGTGGACTGGACTAGACTTGCCACACCATATCGTGGGGATCCGCGTTGATTCAGTTTCAGCGAGCAGTTAGAGCAAGACTATGCTACTTCCTCAACTTAGTTGCAATATCTACGTATTTCATCACAACTTGCTTTGAACGCGGTTGAGTTGAACCCTGTCAGGGTCGAAGTTAATGCTCGTAGAATGATCGACCATCGGTTCGCGAATTGGCATAGTCGTGGATCCCAACTGCTGCTTACTATGACAGTGGCTGAACCAAACAAGATATCTGACTAAATGTTGGGAGCTTCCCAATGGAAGAGTCATATGGTGACATTAACAAAATTCCGCGGGGCAGCCTTTCCGGCCGGAACAGGAGTTTGAATTGCGTAGCCAAGATGCCCAAACAATTGATGTTAGAACTGGGGTCGGAAATTAATACTACTGATACTACTAACCCAGACACGGCCAGAGGTTTGTTATTGCAAACCCCCAACCCAAACCCTGCCCCAAAAGACCCCCGGACAAAACAACCTCCGAGGGGGAGGTTTTTCGACCCTAGCAGTATCACGATCCCAATTGAATCTTGATTTACACGTCTTGTGTGACGTCCAAGATTCTGATAGTATGCAGCCGCATGCAGCTCTGTGACGCAGGAGCCGCACGAACAGAAACAATCAAATCAAGGTTGTTCGATGTGTGCATAAGCAAGCAATGAAAATCTCAGCAAATTTACCTTGATTGCGTCGTTGGAGGGTTCGTGGCGAATCATTTCATTGGGATTCAACAGGACCCCTGCGCAAACAGCCCTGAACAGCATCCCTACGATTTGCTCTGGGATGGTGACCGCACTAAGGCGCCCCTCAGTCCCTTCCGACTGGCACCTCTTCCGTGCGTTGCTTCTTCTGGCGAGAATGGTGGAGTCAGAACAGCGGAACAGCGCCAAGCACATCACAACTAGGCTCGAACCTTGCTTGGTCTTTGCGCTTTGGCGTCCTTCTGAAGCTCCATATTCCTTCCCAGCTCGATGGTCTTCGTTGTGTCCATGAGGCGTTGCGCTTTGTCCTCATTTTCCAAATGCCTGACGAGCACAAGTCGGATGTCAATCAATCAACTCGCTTCACAAGGCCAAGCTAGCCGCGAGGGCACTGTGGCAGACAAACAGACAGAATGAGACAGACAGCCAGACACACCCACAGCCAGACCGACAGCCAGCCAGCCAGGCAGACGGACAGCCAGGACGGACAAACAGCCAGCTAGACAGCCACAGAATGACCGAGCGAGAGAGCCTGTCCATTCCTTCAGCCTCAACACTGCAAAACATACTCTTTGAGGCACGGGGGGTGGTAGCCGTCGTAAGGTGTAGAAGCACCCGGGGGGGAGTCTTCGTCAAAACAATGGTCCTGCAGATCCGGACGACAGACCCTCGCCGCTCCATAATCGACCAAGGCAGGGACGCAGTTCTTCACGGCACTACTTGTAGCGCAACACTCACACTGTATGACACTGTGTGAGGTCGCGACATGTCGCGAGCCACGACTCGCAATCAGCGATGGAAGATTTGACTGCACCTGATGAAAAACACACTATCCAGGCTGCCGGCTTCTCTTTGTCTCGATCTTGCTTGCTCCTGTCCCTGTCCTGATACAGGGCTGCTTCAATCTTGCTCAATGCTGCTACGCATGTACAGGTGCTTCTGATTGACATACAGACTTTCAACCTTTTTGCGGAAGGACCGGGTCCCTTCGGCAAGAAAAAGCGGCATCGCAGCATGCCGGAAATCAAAAGATTTGGAGCGGAAGGATCCGTCTTTCAGCCTTTAAGCAACATATGCAAAAGTCACAGCTCTAGTCTTTCAAACTTTCGGAGTGCACCTTTGCTTCCGCCAGCCCAACTGCCGGGCCATACTGTCAGCACTACAACTCTGCTGTCACTGGTCTTCGATCAGCAACAAATGGAAGATCAAACGGTGAGGCACTGGTCGACTGCCACAGCGGTCACCACACTAAAAACTTATTATGCCGTGCCAAAACAAAGGGGCAGCACCGTCGAAAAAACAAAAGGCAAGATGCACATGACCGAAGCTTTCAAACCATACGACGTACACGATCTTCTGTTCTGCCCGCTGCAGAGAAGTCGAAAATTCTGCAGCATGATCATGGCACAGGTGCATGAATTGACCCCTGAATTATTCATCTGCCTCTGGGTAGAAATAATCTGGAGAATTCATCACCAAACTCGTAACGCACTCATTGTGCCCCACACTGACCTGGGCATCAGCAAGTCCCCAAAACTAGCGGGTGGCTTCACGGTGCTCAGCAACGACTCTACTTTGCGATCGCCAGGACACAGGGGTAGAGCTGCCAGAAACCTCCGAAGTCGCTGACAAATCAAAACTCCTAGAGCCCTAGACCATGCAGCCGAGTGCCTCCACGGAGTCACACAAGTGACCAGGAAGATTCTGCTCACAAGTCTGGCGGTTGAAGTCCCATAGCTTCATGGCCTGACACCCGTTGGCTTCCACATGCCTAGTCCATCATGGGTTGGTGCAACCATGTTGCCTACATCGAACGGTGGCAATTTATGCAGGAAGGGCACCTGTGGCGAGCCACACAAAGCCTTTCCATGTTCCCAGTCCACCGACATTGTTGTGACCTCCAGTGAGGAACCGCCATGGTTGAACGTTCAGCTCACGGGGTATCAGGCGGTATCCCTTTCCAAGGTAAAGTTGCCGAAAAAGACGTAGACTTCAACAGAACTCTCAAGCGCTGACAACTGCAGCTCAACGGATGAAGAAGTCAGCGAATATGAGAATTACACCGATCGACGTTCACTGAAACATCTTCTTGCCGTGCGGGGGTGCTGGAATCCTATCCTTTCTTTTGTTCTGGCCTGTGCTTTGGTTGGTTCTTCTTCCCATTTCCCGCTGAGCCTGGACTGTCTTTAGCTTTAGACCCCTTTGCCCGCAAGCGTCTCTGAATCCGCCAATGCATGGCGGGAAGCTCTTCGGCCATTAACAGATTGATGCATGGCTGGACGGAGGGATGGATGGATGGAGTGAATGAATGCACGGATGGACTGACTTACGGATGAACGGATGGATGGACGGGCGGACGGGCTGACGGACACCGTCTTTGTATCTTGAAGCTTGTGCGGAAACAGTCCGAGAACGTTCATGTCACGAGCGACGCTGTGATGCAGCAGGCAGCTCAGAAAGTTCGAGATGATGCAAGTAACCATGTGCTCAACTCCTGGCCGTCTGAGGCAGTGGGCACACAGCACTGGCAACGTGTCATGTGATTGGAAACCAGCCTTGCATCGCGACACCTAGATTTAATGCACGCGCTCTACTGTGACAGGCATCAGCATGCAAATGCAGATGCAAACACACTCTCTTTTTCACGTGGGGCAGCACAAGCTTGTAAAGTCTCACCACCGCAGACCGAAAAACCGCAGGTCTGTCACAGACGCAGCACAGGCAGAGTGCAGCAGACAGCCTACGGCAGGTCCGACAGAAAGGCCAGCGGCCCAGAAGCCCCTCTACACAGAAGCCAGGGCGCAGGTTTTACAGGTGCGGCAAAATTTACCAGCGCCAGCATCAGCCTCAGATGCGACTTCGAAGGACTCGCTCAGAAGACGGCCACAGAGCAGGCGACCGGTGGACTGCTTCACAATGTGCAGCAGCTGATTCTTCTTGTTGCCAGCGACGGCATAACCGCCAAGACCCAGAATATTCTCAACAAAGTGTGGAGCAGCTGCAACCAGTTGCTCAGCACCATCGTCACTTTCACAAGAGGCCTCGGACGAGCCACTAGAGCTGCTGGTAACAGCGGCAACAGGCCCATGGGCACCAGTTGCAGACTTCTTCCCAGAGCTGCTAGGAGGAGACGTCACCAAGGAGGCAGAAGCAGAACTCACAGGACTAGCAGGCTCCTGCCAGCGTCCACTTCTGGTGACGTCAGGCTGGAAACGACCAGAGCGAACAGAGGCCACCACCTGCCAGAGTTCGCGCAAGGGCCCTGCAAGAGCGTCTCTTCTGTAACCAACGTTGGCCATGTTCACACCATGGCTGTGGTAGCCAAGGAAAGTCAAAGTCTTGTCAGACAGACCAGCTTTGGCACACCAACTCAGCAAAGTGGCCTTGCAACTGTGACTACGGACAGCAGCCACCAGAGCAAGGTCAGCGTCAGGGGCCTTGGACAGAATGCAGCGCAGCCACTGAGTCAACTGGCTGCTGCTGACGCACTCCTGCAGCCACTGACCAGCAGCAGTCAGTCCAGGCAGCAAAGGGTGGTCCAAAGCGCCAGAAGTCTCCAAACAGTTTGCCTCTCTAACAGCCAAGAAAGTGGCACCCCAGGGCACGTCAGACAGCCCGCAGAAGATGGCAGTCAAGGGCATGAAGAGGTTCCTGCGGCTTGCAGCCCTTGCCTGCTTGGGGTTCTTCACGCGACATTCAACAAAGCCATCCAGACCATCAGGCGACAGGTCAAACTCAATGTGCGTAGATCTGCGCAGATCACTGCGTCGAGCGCGAGCGTAGACCATGAAGCACAGGGTTGAAGCAACCAGACGCTCGTAGAGGTCGTCCACAGTGGCAGCGTAGTACTCCAACCACCTAAGCTGAGCAACAGTAAGAGCTGGAGCTTGGTCCACCTCCTCCTTAGTCCGCAGGTGCGCATGGGCCAAACCACGCACACGTGCAGAGAGAAGCTCCTGAACAGAAACGCGCAGACCAAGGGTGCCGTGCACGAAGTTCAGGCTGGAAACAAAAGAGTCTATGCTGGAAGCGGCAGCAGAGCTCTGCAACCAACGGCAGTGCAGCCAGAGGACACTTTCGCAAAAAGAGTCCTCAGGACAGGTGCGGCGCCGCCACAGCACAAACCTAGTCAAAGGAGATGCGCGGGTCAGCAGTGTGTTCGTACTCTTTTTGCTGAACAAAAGATCCAAATGCTCGACCATGGATTCATCACCTTCAGCAGGCAGCTTCTCCACAGTCGCAACACAGAAGAGCTCAGGCGCCAGCTTCAACAGATTACACCACTTGCAGAGGGCTTGGACTCGACGAGTGCGCTCCTCCTGAGAGCTCCAGCCAAACCCTTTGGCTTTGCCAGGCTGCCTGAACACAGAGGCAAACGAGGAAGCCTGAGAGCTGGCAGCAGGGCCAGCACAGGTAGCAGAGCACTGTTTGGGTACCGGCACCGGCAGAGGTGCCCGCAGCAGGCCGTCTAAGGACCGCTGTAGATCAGAAGGCTGAGGCCCGAGAAACGAAAAAGTTCCAGACTCCCACGGCAGATGCAGTCGCTGACCTCGGGACCTGACAGGGCCAAAGCCCATGCCATGAGCCCAAAAAGGGTCAGTATCACTTCTCATAGGGATGGGAGGGCGGGAAACAGAAAACCAGAACTTAAGCCAAAATGGCCGTGCGGTACATTAAAGTCGCATGTCAAGACATAGCAAACTTAATGCACGCGCTCTACTGTGACAGGCATCAGCATGCAAATGCAGATGCAAACACACTCTCTTTTTCACGTGGGGCAGCACAAGCTTGTAAAGTCTCACCACCGCAGACCGAAAAACCGCAGGTCTGTCACAGACGCAGCACAGGCAGAGTGCAGCAGACAGCCTACGGCAGGTCCGACAGAAAGGCCAGCGGCCCAGAAGCCCCAGTACCTTTAAGTGCCGCTGGCCAAGGAGACTAGATCCCCCACGTCCAATTTCACCTCCTTGGCCTTGGACAGAAAGGCAGGGCACAAGCCCCGGCTGGGCCCATCGGCAGGATTGCTGTGGGAAGGCACACGGCAGACCCAGAGCTGAATGCCAAGAGAAGCTTCCAGTCGCAACATCCGCTCCAGGATGCACATGGCACTCTCAGGCCTGACAAACCCATTAACCACCCCAAAACGAACCACCTCATTATCAACCCAGGCGCAAGTGTTGGAGTCACGCAGAGCAGTACTCCAGCACATGACTGAAGCAGCAACAGCCAGAAGCTCGGCCTGGATGATGGGATGCTCACAGCCTTGGGACAGCCAGCCTGCAGTAACGAC